ACCCCTGTGTTAAGGGATCTCCTCAGGGCTCAGCTTCAGTTAATGCAGTCATTGTCCTGTGGGGTGGGGGGTTATTTGTTTGATGCTCTGCTTGTCTGCTACTCTGCATGCATATCGTGTAGGGAGCAGGTGGGCAGAGCAAAAGAACTCCATTTATGGGAGCTGCATTATTGTCTTAGATATAATGCACTGTGCTGTCTGTCTGTCTATGTTAGTTTTGTTCGTTTGTGGGACTGGGCATCCCCCCCACCCCATATTGCCTGTGTCCGCTGTCTTCAGTGTAATATCCCATCTTCATCTTATTGGCCAAAATCAAAGATAGGATTATGTGGTTTGGATTTTTGTTCTATGATTTTCTTTGGTAAACTTTGCAATTTCTATACAAAAACAAGCTTTACATTAACCACAGTTAAAATACAGTTTCCCAGTTCTTAGTAAATATAGCCTGCTGATCCAGCAGTTGGAGAAGTTATACACACTGGTCAAGAATTGACCCAAAATTGCTGTTTGTCTCCCTCAGTCAAAACTGCATTTGGGCAGAATTAGATAGTGGAGGATTTTCTGATTTTTTTAAAAAAAATGGTAAGTATTTTTCAAAAGACATCCCCAAAAAATGAACACACTTTGTTTTGCATATGTTAGGATTTTTGGGCTGGTTATTGAGAGAGAGAGAGAGAGAGAGAGAGAGTTTTGTATGTGTGTGTGTGTATTTTCTGCCCAAGGGAATCTGATATCCTTTGTGAATTTCTTTTTATGTTTATGTTAACACATCCTTTGGGATGCTGTATGGCACACAGTATTTTTGGCAGGGTCCTTCCGAATTCCCTGATTTAGGATGTCACATGTGTAGTGTTAGAATTTGGAGGAGAAAATGGCTGGCCAGCTCTTATCAAGGGACTCGGCTAGCTAGTCAAGTGGAAATCACCCAGACCCCTGAACCAAGAAGGCTAACATCATTTTGGTTGCTCCACCGAGGTCTGAAATCTGAGTTCAGTGCATGTCATGCAACTCACTTCCTGTTTAGCCTAGAGGGACTTAGCAGAGATGTGATGAGTGTTATGTGCTGTGAAGTCATGTCCAACTATAGTGACCGGAATACGGTTCTCAAGCTATGTGAGATAATTCAAAGAGTGGTTTAACTGGTACCCCCCCCACACACACACACTGAGTTTCCACGGCTAAGACAGAATTGGAACCCAGATCTCCTAATCTGTCTTTCTGTCCACCACACCATACTGGATCTCCAAGATATGATGACGGCCTTCAAATGTGTATCCATAATCACCCTCCCTACTAATGCAACCATCTGGTTCTAATCCTGCCCTCTGGAGCAAGAGAGCTCAGGAGAGATCAAGACTGTTCTATCGCTAGCATGACAGCCTTTCAGATATTAAAGAGAGACAATAGAGGCCTTCCAGTATCTAAAAGGCTGTCAGAGGTAGAACAGACTTGAGCGCTCTTTCTCCAGAGGGTAGGATTAGAACCAGATGGTGGAGTTTGCAAAAAGGCAGATTTTGGCTAAACATTAGAAGAATCATCCAGATGGTATGCAATATTTGTCAGTGGAACAAACTGCCTCAGGAAGTGGAGAACTCTCCTTTACTACAGATATCTAAGTGGAGAGTGGGTGGCCGTTTGTCAAGAATGGAGTATTCCATCCTGCGTTGTACATCTTAAACTGAGCAGCAGTTGGGAATAGATGATGTCCAGGGAAGTTCTGAGTTCAAGTTTCCACCCAGCCAGGAAGTTCATCATGTATCCTTGGTCAGGACATTATATCCTAGATCAGTCGACCTTATGAACTGTTGAGAGAGTAGAACAGGATGAAAACATGGGCTGACTGGGGATGATAATGGAAGTTGTAATCCAGCAGGTCTGGAGGCCAACTAGTTGGAGAAGATTGCTAGATGCTCTGCACTGATCTCTGTGTTGGAAAGATGGGATTCAGGGAATGGTCAGGGTAACTTTGGCAGAGCTCCCTAGGATTATGGTGCTTGGATGGCTAGCATTGTCACACTTAAAAAAAAAAAGAATGGGCAAGGTTCTTGCTCAAAACTCCTTTTGTCTACAGCCGGTCCAGTGTTAGACAGAGTGAGGTGGCTGTCTCAGAGAGCAGAAGCTAGAGAAGGTGGGGAAGGGCAGAAATGGCAAGCATCTCTTCAGCTATTGAGCATCCTTAAACTAATCTCTTTTGGTCACCTGCTGTGGGGAACACTGTTCTGTTACCAGTTTTGACTAAGATTGAAGTGCCACTCTGGTCAGCTTCCATATATAGAATTGAGACGAGAAGCACCTTCATATCCATTGTCTTTTCAAAAAATAAATAAATGTGCCATCAAATTGATTCCAACTTGTGACACACCTTGCTGGGATTCCGTCGATATAAGGTATTAAGAAGTGGCTTCTCGTTTTCTTATTTGTGGGTGGAGAGCTGGGATTGTGCAACTGGCCCAAGGCTACAGAAGCGGACTCTTTTCCAAGGAGGCACACTGGGGAATTTAACTC